TAATGTAATCAATGGCTCCGCGTTTACTCTGTTTTTTTTAAAGAAACGGATCTGCAACTTTGGATTGGATTTGGATTGATCTTTATGTAAAATTTATAACTAGATATGCTTTACATTCCAGTCCCACGCTACACCTCAGGTCAGCCCAATTGCATACGTATAATAACTTCACTCTTAATGTTGTTTTCTTCACGTGGTTTGTTTTCAAAAGAAACACCACTAATGTCCATCTTCTATCCCATCACTGTGTATTAGGATAAGCCAAGTCTCGTAAATTTTAGCCCCATGTAATCTTTTTATAGAGATTTTCAATTGATTTGTAATCGGTTGTGTTTTTTTCTTTCTTTACAGATTGGATTTTTAGGAGAATCGACTGATATATACAAAATTAATGGAAGAAAATTTGACATGTGATAAATAACAGATAATGGACCCTTCGAATGACAAGGTTGTAGGAACTTAAATCAATGCGGTTTTGATGTTGGTTGTTATGTCATAACGTCGTTGAGTGATTAAATTAAAAAAATTTAAACTTTTGTGACCAAAGTAAGAGTAATAAAATAGTTGAGAGAAGAATGGTGTAGTTTACTCAAGCTACAGAATAGTGCGACACTTAAACCCTAAACATTGGTTTGTAGAGAATGTAGAAGAACGATTTGGAGGAAGAAGAAATAGTGTTCCCCGAAATGGCATTAGCGACATCCCTTAGGTGCTCTTCTTGTATCTGCTTAGATGTCCGCCTCGCCGATTCCAACTGGAACAGATACAAAAACTGCTCCATCAAACTGCCTCTTCGCCTCTGTATCCATGAATCCGGCAAAAAACCGTCGATTGTTGGCATTTCTACCTCGACAATTGTGTTTGTGGGGCTCAGTCTTTGCATTTGCTCCTCCGCTTCCGCTCTTACGCCGTTGCCCCGCCGCCTTGAACAAGGTACCCACCTTTCTCTATCTTTCTCTTTTTGAATTAATTCATTAATTCACCCACTGTGCTTCTTCTTCTACAACGAGCCAAACAGCGGATAGCAGGTCAGCAGCTGTAGAAGAAGAAGAAGATGATGATGAGAAATCGGATGCAGCTTTTGAGGCTTGGAAATCCAAATCTTATGCTCTCACCGTTCCTCTCTCCATGGTCGCTCTTCAGGGCTCCGTGCCTCCCTCCTGGTCCAAGGATTTCATCTCCTCTCAATCCAGGCGCTTAAAGTTCCAGGCCAAATTCCAGCCATCTCTTGAAGATATTTTTGCTCAGTTGTGCCTGCCCTTTACCCCAGCCAAAGGCAAAGTGAATATTGGGCCTGCATCTACGGCTGCTGCTGATATTGTCACCCTGGGTGGCTCCTGGCTCTCTTTAGCTATCGGAAAAGCTGTCATCGAACCCATTACTGCTGCTGAACACCTGGATTGGTTTAAGAATTTGAGTCACAAATGGAAGGTAACAAGGCATCATATTTTGCTCTTATTCAATTCAAATCAAAACCCAAAACATTGCCCAACCCTTGAAATGTCCCAGGTTTATCTACGCAGGAACCTCAATGGAGATATTGATCCACAGGGTCAGGTGGGCTGCACCCTATCGATGGGGTACCATGGTCATAGCTTACAAGAAAACCAAATTTCAAAAACAAAACTTGCCTCCTATACAGGTAATGTTAATCTATCCGCAAGATAAAACCAGTGCTGAATTTAACTCTAATATGATTCTTATTCGTGATAATGATGTGTTCCTGCTGCTTTTCTTATAGAATTGTCCATAGATTCCTCTCTTTTCTCCCATATGTCTCAAATTTGGTTGTAATGGTTTTTAAGTAACTGAAGAATCCTTAATTTATTTTCAGAACTTCCCTTTTTTTATTCTAGCATAAAGGTTAATCTAGTTTTGTTTGGCTTGTGGAGAAACATTAGCACTTTACTCTCCATACAAGCCTTGATAGCCTGTCTATTTTCTTCTTTACTTCATTGATATGTGTAGTGCTTTCTCATAACGGCATTAGGTAGATCTTCTTGTAGGTTATTTTCTCATCATGACATTAGTTAGATGTTTTTTATTTTTTGAAATTGTCTCGGAAAGAATTGCAGAACTTATTTCCATCTTGAAACCTAGTGCACAAAGAATTTTGATGTATTCTATTTGTCGCTGTCAGTTAAAAATGACTGCAGAAATGAATAGCCTTTGAATCTCTGAATTGCAATTTCCCTTTCCTACTTTGTTTACAAATTTTTCTGCTTGGAGCCCATGACTGCTAAAACATGGGCTTTACAATTATCTGAAATGCCTCCCTCTTCCCTTGCATCGATCCTTTTTTTACATGTTTTCCTGGTTTGGTCAGCTCGTGAAAAAATCATCAAACATGACCTAGTGTTTATCTTATATCCGACCTAGTGTTATCTTATCCTATTACCTATATCAATATTTTGTTTATCTTCGCTCATTAACACTAAAAATCTAGGGGGGAAACCCTATTGCAGGATTGGGCAGATTTGTGGCGGCCTGAACTTGCTGGAAGAATTTCAATGGTGAATTCTCCTAGAGAGGTTGTTGGTGCAGTGTTGAAGTACATGGGTGCGTCATACAACACAGCGGACATTGAGTTGCAAGTTGCTGGAGGGAGGAATGCTGTACTGCAGAATCTAGAATTACTTGCAAAACAGGTAGCACAGCGTAAATGATTTTTTTTATAAGAATTGTAGGTCTCGTTACCATATTTGCGGATCTAGATATCACTCGTAGAATACCCTCTTTGTTCCTAATTATATCAGCTATATCCTTAACAATGATAGCATAGATACTAGGGCAAGCAGCTGGATTTTTTATCCAATCCACACCGTTTTTACAATCGTTGAAGCCTCAAATGATATTATGCCTTTTTTTTGTCTCCCCATTCTTTCTACGAGTTCGTATAACATGACTAGGAGCCATTGCATCTTTGTTCTTTTAGTGATGTCTATCGTGGACCTGACCCGATAGAAATTACCAGTATCGAATTTCCTGCATTATATGATCTTATTATAAGATTGCTGCATTATATGATCTTATTATAAGATACTTATCGTTAATCATTATTCTTAAGAGAAAGGGTTCTTTTTTATGCTCAAAATCCAAATTCGAGGTCCCTCTGTGTTGACTTAGATCCTGTACCTTTGAATTTCCATGCCACATTGGCTGAAGCAGAATTTTTAAGCCTTCTTGTATGAATTTATACACACATTCTCCAAATTGGCACCTGTCCAGTTCATCAAGTGGTGGATAATTTAGCATTTTCCTTAGTAGCGTGGGTTATTTTTGCTGTGACACTCCTTGATGGATCATTTATTCAAGTGCGGAAGTGTGAAATAGACAAGATTCTGTAGCACATAAATTTCGTGTAAGATGGTACAGAAAGTAGACTGAATTAACATATTCAATGCAAATGCAAGTGTAAGATGGTACAGAAAGTAGACAGAATAGCATATTCGATGCAAATGCAATGGCTTGCCATTCTCTGTATTATTTACTTTTCATTCAATGCAAGTGATGAGAGCCCGAGGAATTTTCTGGGGATCCGAAGATGTGCAATAGTTGTCTGTTTTTCCTTTTCTATCTTAAAAATATTATTTGAAATGTTAAGCTGGATATTTGTTTTCTCCACAATCGTTTCTCTTTACTTAGCTTTAGTTGCTTCTTCATCGTGTTATAGCAGTATATCCTTTTGGGTTTTGTAGGTAAAATTTTTCGACAGTGCGAACTATCTCAAAGCATTTTCAGTGGGAGATGTTTGGGTGGCTGTTGGGTGGAGTAGTGATGTTGTTCCAGTTGCAAAGCGTATGTCAAATGTAGCCGTTGTTGTTCCCAAGTCTGGAGCTAGTTTATGGGCTGATCTATGGGTATACATCTGAACCATTGCATTTTCTGCCTTTTGCTGGTAACATATTTCGTCTTGCATCGATTTTTTTCCTCTGTCAAGTTAAGAGGATGGTTTGTCATGTAGTATGTTGAAACTAAAACGAGAGAACAGATAATGACTTTATGAGAGAGATGAAAAAGAGGAACGGAATTGTGGTGAAACATACATCATACTGAATAGCAATGAAGTAGAAAATAGATTCTAGCATATCATTTTCTCTTTGCAGGTAATTCCAGCTGCCTCAGGACTTAAAACAGACCGTATCGGGGGGCGTGTGAGAGGTCCATCTCCACTAATCCATCAATGGGTAGAATTCTGTTTACAGACAGCAAATGGCCTCCCTTTCAGGCAAGGGGTAACAGCCGGCGCGTTCCCCTCGGCCCTGGAGAGTGGACCTCTGAAATTGCCTGAAGAGCTGACCAAGGGTAAGCCAAAGCTAGACACAAACCTAGTTGCTGGAGTGCCACCACTTGAAATATTGGAAAAGTGTGAGTTCCTGGAGCCATTATCCGATGCAACATTATCGGATTATAAATGGCTCATTGAAAGCATGGCCAAATCTGGCCCAAATTTTATAGAGTATGTCTCATCAATATTTGGAACTTTGAAGCAGCCTAAATTGACATAAGATTCACTGTGCGCCCATGTAGTTATTAATCAATATATACTGTGGCCAATACTTGCAAAATTCAATTTTTACAACATATCCAAATACTTTTATCTTTTCTATTCCTATTATGCGGTGGCTATAAGTGCATTCACTTGTCCATGGATAAATAATCCTATACACGTTCTTTGTGCCTATGCGAAATGATTGCTCTTTTTGAAAATCAAATGAAAAGCTGTACGTTACGTTCTAATCTCCAAAACCACAACTTAATTGAAATCATCGATAAAACCCATATGTAAACTGTAAGCACAGGCACGCAACAGAAAAATGGCACAAACCCAAAAGGCAAAATATTCTCAATTTACGCACGAAGCTGTACGTTACGTTCTAATCTCCAAAACCACAACTTAATTGAAATCATCGATAAAACCCATATGTAAACTGTAAGCACAGGCACGCAACAGAAAAATGGCACAAACCCAAAAAGGCAAAATATTCTCAATTTACGCACGCTGTCATCTAATGTTTACTTCAACAGGGGGTAGAGGGAGAGGGAGAAGTGCAAGCTAAGGACTAAGGGGATAATATAAAAGAAAGCAAAAAAGCACACTTAAATGAACTAACTGACCGACTGACTCGTACCATAAGGGCGAGAGAAGGTGAAGGTTGGATCCCACCGCACTTGCACATAGCAAATTGCCGGTAAGGGGTGTTCACCCGTGCCATTTGTCAAATTCTATTCAACTACTTAAATTGAGTTTCAAATGGAATATGCGCAGTGCGCAAATACACCGTACCTTCCATCCATCTGCACAAAAGAATTAATCAAAAAATTAACACGAGTGAGGATGAAGCACATTCAACATCTCCCCTTCATTTACTGCTTGCGCTGGAATTTGCTCGAGACAACAGGAGAACGTGAGACCTTACACACAAATCTTCATTTTCGGCTTCAACTTTTCAATCAGAGTTGGAATCATAAAAATCACTTGGGCATGGGGTCATAACCTCTGATTCAACCAACTGCACCACCCTGTGCATGGTGGGCCGGTCCTCTGGGTTAGAACAAACACACTGGATGGCTACTGAGAGTAAGGCATCAAGGCTTTCTGTCTGCACCCCCTCACAATTTGGATCCACAATCTCACGTTCCCTATTCTCTGTAATTAGGAAATTTAACTGCATGAAAGAGGACATGCCAGTCAGGTCATCACACCCACAAGTATATATACATATAAACATAAACGCAGAGTCATATATATTATTATTCTTAATCGATGAAACCATTTGCATGGTATATTTATATACTGCCAATTTGACAAAATGTCAACAAAGTGGAAACATACCCAGCCAACGATGTTGAGGCCCTTCTCAATGTAGGATGCATCAGTAGGTCTCTTGCCACTTATGACCTCAAGCACCAAGACCCCAAAACTATAGACATCTGTCTTTTCAGTTGCTCTCCCACTTGCCATGTACTCTGTTGAGGGAAGCATAAACAGATTTTAGACAAATTGAATTTAGAAAACTTGCATTACATAACAATGACTCGACCATTTAACAAGAACCAAATTGCAGCTTTGCAGAAAACAAACAAATAAATACTTGACCAAATTAGCATGCCCGGAATCTTTCCTTTGGTTAGATTATAAAGCTAAGGCTGGAGTTTTTATTTTCTCGACACAGTAAGACAAAAATTTAAACAAGCCATAATCTGTTTAAGCAATGCGGGATGAGATGTGAACTTCAAGGTCATAGAGCATCCAACTTGTTTGGCAGCATTTTTTATTTCTATATCTACAAAAGGTAAAAAGATTGATGGAAAAAAATAGTTTTAAATACTTTAAGAGGATATTTTGGTCCAATGAAATACTAATAACGAGGTTTGTTTAAAAGTTCAGCTAAATTTTGACTTCAATAATATGTAGGGGCCAAATAAACTATTAATAAAAAGCATCATGGAACATGGCTGTTAAGTGCCAAATAAGCAAATAAAAGCAACACAGAAAAAAGAACTTTTTCTATGGGGTCAATTTTCACTTTTCTGCCAAGTATTAACAATAATCATATTCATAGCATCTGGCTCCACAACCATAGAGAGCAAGGAAATATTGTAACTGCATACCTGGAGCCAAATAACCAAAAGTTCCTGCAACAATGGTTGTAATATGAGATTCTCCATCCTCTAACAGCTTGGCAAGTCCAAAATCTGATACCCGAGCCTCCAAGTTGATATCAAGTAGAATGTTGCTCGACTTTATGTCACGATGTATGATTCTTGGAGAACAATCGTGGTGTAGATAGGCCAGTCCTTTTGCTGCTCCCATACTAATATTCAAACGTGCCTCCCAGTCTAACTGCTCAGATCGTTCTGTTAAAAGAATCATAAAACAGCATTACCTTCCCAATAAAGAAATTAATCCATTCAACAAATTAATAGAATAGAAATGGACCCAAGAGCATAAGGAAATCTTAACAAATGGTGAAAAAGAAGAAGAAATATTTAAGTTCACGCTCAATGTTTTCAAGAGCACAAGGGTCAACATAGGCACTAAAATACACAATGGGTGAGGCACAAGGTGCAAACAAATCGCTTGACTAAGCAAATTAAGATGCAATACATATATATATATACACGTAGATGTATATGTATTATCCATAAAAATGTCAAGTTTATGCCAGTCAGACCATTGCTTTTGAATAAAAATGGTTAAGGGAGCCTCACCATGGAGAGCTTCATCAAGGTTGCCACCAGCCAGGTAATCATAGAGTAACAGCTTTGATGTAGGTGAATTACAATATCCTCGCAAATTTACAAGGTACCGGTGTTTTATGCTTCCAAGAATTTCAAGTTCTCTTTCAAAAAACCGATCAAATCCCTCATTCATCTTCACAATTTGTTTCAATGCAAACACATTGCCATCATCCATTTCAAGCTTGTATACTGTCCCAAACCCCCCAGCACCTATAATGTCTTCCTCACTCAAAGTTTCCAATTTCTTAATGATGTCTTTCGAAGAGTGTGGCAAGTCTCCATGAAACATGACAATGGATGCTCCTGAAGCAACAATACCACATTAACAAGACATTGAATCTTAGAGGGTAAAGATGAAAATTGGACACAGCTAGATTTTCCAAAATTGAAGATATGTTGATTGGAATCAAACCTCCACTGACATCCATGGCAAGAGTTCTGCTCTCATTTTTACCGAACTTCTTGTATAGGAAGCAACCCCAAAAACACATAAGTGCCACCAAAAGCAGTGCACCTACAGTTGCTGATGCACTAATGAGAAGCCTTCCAGAGTTTTTCCTTTTACCAACTTGATTTTGAGCTATCCAAAAAGAAAAAAATATCGAAATACAAACCAGAGTGAGCTGCCACCCAAAAATATAATAAATCCAAGAATAAAGTTAAGACTTATCAGGATTTCAGATTTTGGACAAATTGATCTTTTTACATTCATAATTAACACAGAGATGAGCACCAAACAATCAGAGTTATACATTTCTGGCACATGCAGCTTACCCGAAGTAGGTGATCCAGAATATGTTGGAGCTCCACTGTCATCTTTGCATGCCGCGTTGATTTGTTTTCCACATAAACCACGATTTCCAATGAAACTACAAAAAAAGGAGTTAAACTGTTAATTTAGCATAATAATGGTACATCAATCTTCTTTAACTATTCAAGATGAAGTAACCAGCGGAAGATGCTGTTAAAAGTGCCAAATAAAGGAATTGAGTACAAGAGTAACAGATCCTCGAACCCTCCTGCATGATAATTCTAGCATATAAATAACCAAAGATCTATTGAACACGGTATACCAAATTAGCTTGTACTTACGAACTAGCCATAAAGTTGCTGAAGACACCAAGCAATGGTATAGGCCCGACCAGAAAATTGTTAGACACATTGCTGCAGGAATTTCAATACAATCATCAAAGATGAGTTTCTGTTCGATTATTTCTTAAAGTACCAACTCAGTAGAAAGCCTACACTTAAAAACTAACAAATTTTAAGGGAACTAACAATGTAACGAGATTATCTAGTCTTCCAATTGAGGGAGGGATATTTCCACTGAGAGAATTGCTCGAGATATCCCTGAAAATACAAAACTCAGTGTAAGCATCATTAAATTATCCAAATGCTTAGTCTCTTTATCACTGGCTCACATTTATTAGCAAGAGAAACAACTTACAGATTCTGAAGCGAAGAAAGGTTTCCCAATTCGCTTGGAATTAAACCACTTAAGTAATTACCCTGCAAGTATCTGGAAAGGAGAATATATTAGAGTATAATAAAATAAAGAGTACATGTAATTCCAAATTAAATTCTTCATTAAAAAATCTAGAGAACCTTTAAAACATACGGTACATCATATTTACGTGCACACTAGGTGAACACAACCATGCCATTATTGAAATATATGTACATAACTTAGATAACAAGTTTATCCAAGTAATATAACCAAAACAAATAGAAAATTGGTGACTTTCAAGAAAAAGTAAGAAATATGTCCATTCCAATCATGCAAAAAAAAGTACCACAAAGTTAACAGCATTAAGCAATCAAAAGCAAGTGAAAGTCTGAGTTTTTGCTTCAGCTCTTTATATGAATGATGAATAGATTTAATTCAAAAACATCCAAGTTGGATCAAATATTAGAAAAGGTCCTTTTAATCTTATACTGGTTGAACCCATCCAAATTGAGGGAACGTCCAGGGTTCACTTTCCCCCTTGGCCTTGCCCAACTGTCAAAAAGGATACTTCATAGGTTGATACTTATGAAATTAAACAAGTACATTTCTCTTCAATTTATATACCACCAAAGCATGTACAATTTTTATCAATTTATATACGATGAAAGCATCTCTCTCTCTCTCTCTATTATATATATATATATATATATATATATATCTATGTAACACTAACACATAAAAGAACAATTGAACAAAAGGAAAAAAATGAAATCAATTATTCCAACACATGAAAACAGTAATTTTAGTTAAATCCCTTCCAATCCATCTATAATTCAAAATCAAACAAAAGAAAAAAAAATCTTTTAGAGGTCAAAATATTGTTTGGCATCAGAACCAAAGCTTAATAAAGAAATATTTATAGAATAGTCAACAACACTTTTCAAGTAAGGAGAATCAACAATACTTACATTCCTCGCAGCTCTGTGCAATTACCCAGCTCTGAAGGAATCGTCCCATAAAAGTTGTTGTTATGAAGCATTCTGACACATAAAAACCAGACAAAATATCAGCTGCAATAAAATATATTTGAATACAGATCATGCATGCATCAAGTACGGAGATATATAAGTTAACACATACAAAAGCCTCAAGTGCTCCAGTTTTCCAAGGTCAGGTGATATAGGACCACTCAATTTATGATTGGTAAGGCTCCTGGAGAAGACATGGAGAAAGCAAACATGTTAAATGGCACTTTCAAGCACACAGTTGTTTAAGGATGTTATATTTGGTCATGATCTTCAAAACTCACAAAGTCGTTACTCTCTTGGTTTTATTATCACATTCCACTCCTTTCCATTTGCATGGATCGGGATCCTCTGGTCTCCACTTAGAAAGCACACCATCTGAACTAGTAATTGCTATTCGGAAGCTCAGAAGTGCCTCTCCTGCGTGTCAGGAAAAGCATTTTCACAATCTATAACCAGATAATCTTATTTCTAGCAAGAATCACTGGCTACCTAGAGACTGTATAACTAGCCAAAATTGGTAATATCTGAATTAAATCTAAAAGACAGTGTCAAAAAGGAAAAGGAAAGGATAGAGAAAGCAAAATGTAAACACACACCCCAAAGTTTTAAAAGGTGGAGATATTCAGCATGTAATTTTTCCTAAGTGGGACAAATTAACCGATATTTTCCAACCAAATGAGCATTAACACAAAGATAACATTTGACATCCTTTCCCAGATGATGAGAGAATAGGGGGAGAAAAAGAAATTTCCAAATGTCAGCTTAAATTATCTCATTCTATATATCACATACCATCAGGACTGATAGCTCTGACCCTGTTTGCTAGGATAAAAGAGAATAGAATGAGAAGCAGCCATGACCATTGACATTTCATCAGACGAATGCCCATGTTGGCACTGTCAAAGCATAATATAGATATTACAAATCATCCGATATGACAAACTAAAAAATCCGCCCTTGCTGTAACATTTGGTTACCCGGACTACAACTCCACTTGGCAGCTACAAAAATCGAATGATGTCTGGCAGGAAAGAGAAGCAAAATATGAATTACAAATGATAAAACATATTTGAAACAGAAATAATGTGCAGAATGCGGATCAATGTTCTCATATCCAATTCAAATTGTTTTCTGATTTGTGCAGAAAGAAATGCATGATTCAAAACCAAGAATCGCCTCTCTCTCTCTCTATACACACACACACACACATTGTTTAAACCACAGGTCGTCAAAGCAACCTCCTCTGTAGAACCAAAGGACAAATAGAGGACTGAAGTCTTGTAACAGATCAAATAATTCTAATCATGAAAAAAAGTCCAACTTGAGAACCATTTCAGTTTGGCTATCCATGATGTGGACAATGCTAGTGTATGAGTGTATGAGAGCTGCTTACTATTGTACAATAAAGCATTTCCAGCCAGAACACACCATAAATCCAAACAGCAAATATATATATATATATAAAAGTAGCATAATTAGACCTTAAAAGCATTTTCAAGGAAAATGAACCCTTCTGATAAACATGTACTACATTATAAAAAGCTTTTGCTGCATTAGCATTCTTTATCCAAATAGAACGAGACTGACTACCAGCATGTATAAAAGCAATTCCTTCCCCAAATCTACAGTCATTTTTTAGGCATTTATGTTAAATTCGAAACTCTAATAATCAACTTTTCCATCCCAAACTCACAATTCGAAAATAAACTAACAGCCTCTCAAAGTTGCACTGATTTGTTATAGCATCTTTTAGAGCTAAAAGAACATAAGAGCTACATTGATAAAGTGACAGAAACTTTGCAGCATTAAGCGGAAACAAAAAGAAGGCATAAAACATCGTAAAAACGAAAATGAGATCCTTGGAAATTGTGCCTCAACATCGGCTATTTACATTCCAAGCATATGCTCAAAGATCCCGACCTAAAAACAAAGTAAAGATGCGAGCAGCAAAACACTAATCAATCTTGAACTTAAACACAAACGGAGATAAACTTTGGATGATAAAACGGAATTAAAAAATATATATATAAAAAGAGAAGGAAAATGAAGAAACCTTGAGATTGAGTCGATCTGCAGGCAGTGTGAGCCGTGGAGAGAGAGAGGAGCAACGAGAAATACAAAATGAAAAAATGAGAGATGAGACTCAATGCTGCTACTTTATTTCTTCTTCGATTAAGATTAGTTTTAATTCTTGTTAATTTTGGTTATGTTCTGAAAATAAAGTGGATATATATAGAGAGAGAGAGATTTAGTTGATGAACAGAAGTAGATCCGATGGTAGCGAACTGATGTGATACTGTTTTCTCACGTGCGACCACGACCATCCGCACGTGTCAACCGACGCTTCCTTCTTTCTAGAAGCCAGTAAAGTCTGTAGTCTAAAATCTAAGTAGCTACAGTAAATTTCGTCCACTCCCGGATCCTATGTAAGAATAAGATTTATATATATTTGATTAATTATATTATATTAAAAAAGAAATTATTAAATTTATTATAATTACATATAAAATATTTTATTATTTTTGCAAAAATTAACTTACCTGATTAGAAAATTCGGTATTATTAAATAAAAAAAAGTATTTTTATTTATTAAAAACAACCCTAAACATCATTAATTAAAAAAATATCTCTCAAAATATACACGTAAGAAAACATCGAGTTCTGTAAAAAACAAGGTCATACCTCACGTTCTGTAAAACACGAGATCCATCAATTTTTCAAATAATTTTATTTAATTTATAGATAAAGGGCATCATAAATGTATGAAACTCACTTTTCGTAAAGCGTGAGATCTGATCTAGCTTTTCACATAATGCGAGTTCATCTTTCGTGGATAATTTAGAAATATTTTTTCAATTAATGTCGTGTGAGAGTTGTTTTTCCAATAAAATAAAAAATGAGAATTTTTCATTTAATAATATCAAATAAATCGTTAATGTTCTAAAAGATTATGAATTTAAACACTAACGACGGCATGAGGATCAACATTAATTGGTAAATGATTAAAAAACATTTAAAACACTTTATAAACCCATTTGCTTAATAAAAAAAAATATTTTATTATTTTAAAACAAACAAACGCTTAACTGATTATATTGCTAGATTCGATCATAAACACTTCTAACATATTGAAACAGGTGAAATAATTTGAAGCGACTTTTTTTTAAATAAACACGGGATATTATTAAATTATTAACTATTATATTTATATAAATTAAACAGTAAAATTTATTTTATGGCTGAGTTATGGGAAGGGGAATTCGTTGTATGGATTCACTAAAAGCTTGGGAAGTTGCTCGATTTTTATGGCTGAGTTGTGGGCTGTTTATATAATGCTTTCGGATGCGTGGCCAATGGGTTTTTCGCCGGGTTAAGCTTGAATCGGATAATATGGACGTTGTCCGTTTGCTGAACTGCTTTAATTCTAATCCGATGGATAATCTGCTGTCCGAGGATGTTCTGAAGCTGCTGAAGCGAGATTGGCAGGTTGATGTTAGTTACAGTCGGCGGAATCTAAATGGGGCGGCGGATATTCTTGCCTCTTTGTCTGGTGATATGCCTATAAGGGAAGTCTGCTTTTTTGAACCTCCTGTTGAGCTCATTTCGTTGCTGCACAGGGAGCAACTTGTTGGTTCCTTTTAGAACCATCAGGAGAATGAGCATGTTAATCAAAGGGATGACCCAGGTGGTTAGGATTGTCGAGTTTATCTGTGGTTTTTTCTTGTATTTGTTAACATGGGTACTCTTTTCCTCGAGTAAGTTTAGGAGGGTTTTAACGAGACGATAGTATTATCTATTTATCAAAAATAAAATAAAATTTCTTTTAAAATATTTTCTTATTTTTATATAATATATCTTTTAAAACAATTAATTTTTAAAAAAAATATATTTTTCTGAAACTATATATCGTTAACAAAAAGCAATAATTAATTTTAAAATATATATTTTAGATATTTTTGCTCAACTCTATCATTATCAAGTTAATTTTTAAGTAAATTACATGTTTAATACCTAAACTATCAATTATGGTATATTTTAATATCCAAACTTTAATTTTTTTCAAAATCACATCTAATGTTTAATTTTCATTTTATTTTAATATCCGGCGTTAAAAACTTAACGCGTTTAACACCTAAACTATCAATTTTAATTTGTTTTAGTACTTAAACTTTCTTTTTTCCCCAAAACTAAACATTAAATTTTAAACAAGATACTAAAATGAAAAAAAAAACTAAAATTTTTAACAACATGGTACTAAATGAAACAAAAACTAAATTTTAAATATAATTTTAAAAAAAATGAAAATTTAAGTACTAAAACGGACCAAAACTGATAGTTTAAATGCTAAATGCGCAATTTACTCTTATTTTTTTATTTAATACTAAAAAATTTAGGTCAGGAGTAACTCTTACAGTCCAGGATCAGAGCATACTTAAGACTCAATTAAGATTGACATATGAATCTAAAAATTGCCCACAAAAAGTGACAGTGGTAAAATTTGACTAACATTCGCTGGCTACGCTTAATTTTTATACTATTTACTCGAATTTAGAAAATCTTGATACCCAGGCAGAAAGGTAACAACTTTATTATCGTTCATACAATTCAACACGAGATGACAAAAAGTGAGGTTTTGGCAAATAGACAAGTCATTTCCATTAACATTCAACATCTAGAATCACACACGAAAAGCTAATTCTTTTCCTTTTCTTTTGCATGGGAAATCAATCAACTCGACAGCGTCGGAGGGTTTTCCTTAGGATGTTTGGAGCCATAATGATCACCGAGTTGTTTTTCATTTGCTAATTGCACCTACAACATGAAGAAATATTCATTTTAGCATATTACAGGTAAGGAGGCCAGAGAGAAATATGGGAAGGACTCGAAATGCCACGAGACTTTGCCTCCCTAAGAACACTAGCCAAACCTTTCATTCAAAGAGCAGGCACAAAGACAGAATTTTATATAACTTGAATAAAGAGGGAGAAAAGGGCAATTTATTGTGTTCAAGTCCCTTTTTTTTTGGCAAAATGATGTTCAAAGTATATGGTGTTTGTGATCATGTAATATTAGAAAACGTGCAATTCAATGAAACAGCAAATGAAGACTCCATGCAAAAGACAGGCAGTTGGTACCCTTGATTCATTATACAGCAGTCTGAATTTTAATGTATGATGAACTTGACCTACAGCCATATGTTTTGCAATGCAGTTCAAACTAACACGACAATCAATATGGCATTGATTAACAAAACTCAAGTTGAATATACTGTCATCCACAAACGCTGCCAGATCTCATCAAAGAAGCAATATAGATTCACGGAAAGGCAGTAAGGTCTACAAATATGACGGATGGAAAATGCAAAATTTCCTTGCTCCTTTTCTTCTAGCAGATTGCCCATCTTATTAGTCCTACTCGTGGTATATCTATTTGATGAACAGAAAAATAATAACAAAAGTATAGGAAAAACTCCAAGCTTTTTGCAGCTCAAGCCATTTAAAGAAGGTAAGCCCTCAAATTTCATGACTTGTTTTCTTTATAACCTTTTACATTTGAAAAATAAGTAATGAAACAAAATAGTGATAATGTACAAAAAGCTCCTATTTATGTCAAGGAGCTTGTTCTTTCTAAATATAATCAATCCATCCATTGGCAGAACTGGTGAATGGATGTACAAAAGTTACCATGTCACTCAATGAACAAGATACTCTAGCCTTAATTATCTCGTTGTGCATTTCGATGAAATGTTTGGTGATTTCTATCAAATTTTAATATGAATTATTCAAAATGAAGAATTAAATTCTCTAAAATTGTAGTTTTGTAAACTATTCTTTTCCTTTATATGTGCTTCTAGAAACTGATGCCACTTCAACGAACCAGAAACCACCCATTCCAATTCCATTATGTTGTTAATCGATCACCATGAAATCACCCATCCTGTATCTTCTGCCATATTAAGTGCTAAACCCTCATAATTCCAGATAACAGCTAAAGCCAAAACAGACACCGGCCAGAACATCATTTACCTAGCATAAAATTAGTAACATAGCACTTTGAAACATAAATTTGAAAGTGGGGAAAAATATACTTGCAGATCTCTTTCCTACCCATTAGGGGTTATGGTCTACTAACTCGGTAAGAAATATAGTTAGTGTTAACTGAGATATACTTGCAACATATGCATATATGGATAAAAACCCAAAAAAAGGGAGAAATCTGGGAAGTCAAATAACAGGGATGCAAAGTTTTATTAATACTATCTTCTAAATCGACAGCCACAATCTATCAAGTCAAACTGATAGCAGCAGGAATGCTAATAAGATTGAATTTTATCAATAATATTAACAATATTCACAATTATAAATAGGAAAATCACCGACATACCAATACGAGTTCAATCAAGTAACAAAAAATCAATTAATGATTATTTTTAATCTATAATGCAAGCCATGGTCATCCAGAAATGATCAATTAGATTCCAAAATACACTGTGAAGGAGGGAAAAAGTGGGCGACACTGCTACCCTCTATGCTTGAATTAATTGGTGAGTTTCAGACGGGCAGTATCACTTCAAACCTAGCTTTTACAATTACTTCTACTACTACCAGACGACGTTTCAAACTTTGAATGAATAAAGACAAAAAAACCGTAAAGATCTTGTTAAAAGAGATCAAGATCAAGATCGGCTAAGAAAATGGATATGGTAAATCAAAAGAAAACCTTGCAGATAGGGCAGATGACTTTGAGGGCAACGGCTCTGGCCTCCAACTGAGAACCCTTCGACTTTTGATTTTTCTCAGCGTTTCGCTTCTGCGCATCGATCTTCTGCTTTCCCCGCGTCATCCCTTTCTGCCTTCTCGCATCCAAAGCTTCCCTTTCTTTCTTTTCGTCAATGTATCTCTATCGCCTCACATGTATATATTATATATAATATATATTTAATAACTTATAATTTATTATTTTATGATTTATGATATACCTTTACTTTACTAATAGTATTCTTAGTATTTTAACTTTTTTTAAAAATAATAATATAAATTTTATATTTAGCATTTTTATATTAACTTTTTTAATATTTAAAATCTCAATACTTCTACATTTAAAATTTAAAATAACTTTTTAAAAAATTAATTAAATTCTTAAACTTAAAAAACAATTTAACTTTCAGCCGACTTAAGTTGGAGATTCATAAGATGCAATACAACACACTCAAGTATATTCGACAGAACATGCGGGTCAGGATGAATGAGATTATATCATATATGGTCAACAAGGTAGTCAAATCGATTCAGTAACAACAATAATGTGTCAAATACCATAAGTCCATCATCGTATTTTGAATATGGATCTCAAAGTATGTTAAGTACACGCCCTTTTGAACAACCAAACCAAGAAGAATATGAAAACGACGACAATCAAGGCTAACGATCCCAACGTACTAGACAAGTCCTACATCATTATCATTCAACCACTCCTCTACGATCGTCAAGAGCTTAGAAAATATAAATAAATTTTACTATGTACATATTAGTTTGTAAACACTATTTTTAAATAAAATTATTAATTTACTTTTTAATTAATTTACTTTTTTAAAAATTTTAATCCGGCAAAACCAATCACATCAAGGTAACAAGTTCAATGTTAACTGTTGTTGTTGCCCGTTAACCAACGACTATAAACGATTTTTTTAATTCGAAAGAACTCATCACCTTGAGATGACGTGTTCTATTAATTTTTTTTAAGTTTTAAAAATTTAAATTATTTTTACAATTCATTTCAAAAATAATTTTTAAGGTTACGAATCCCATTAATTACAATAAATTAATGACCCACATGAAACTCACTCGTCTGGGTCCATTAAAAAATTATATCTCAAGGAACTCCTCACCTCAAGGCGACGAATTCCAACATCACTATAACAATTGTCATATTCTCCGAAATAATAAAAAGCCGGGTGCCCTAATGGGCTAAATAAAAAACCCGCTTGCACTAATGGGCCAAAAAGAAACCGATAATCTAAGGTACAGGAGAGTACAGAAATGAAAAAAAAACACGATATTTAAGTTCTTACAGGAGTAAAACTTCCACGTTCAAAGCATCAATGTATCATACAATATCACATGCATGTGATGCGATGGGAGCACTAGTTTATTGGCTGGCAACATGCCATCAAGTTCATATGCAAACCACAGTCTTTAAAACCAAACCGTATAGCAAACACACATCCAAAACAATTATTAGTAGGCCAATACTTCTTAAAGCACCAAACACAGGAGGAGCATCAATTCTCAGAGCTATAAGATGTCTCCCCTGCAGAAGAGCTATCTCTTTGGAGACGCTTCATCTCCTCATAGGCCCATTCAAGGCCAGGGCAGTAATGGAGTGGTGGATTAAATCTGCAATCGTTGATGTCATCTGGCAAAAATGCCCCATTCTCTACCAGGAACTTCACTGCTTCTTTATTTCTTTCTTTAGCTGCTGCATGAAGTGGTGTCCCTGAGATTCACAACAAAAACAAGGGATAATGAAATCAGTAGCCTTTCTTGCATCTAGGCGCATGCTTTTATAACAAATCCTCAAGTTTCAAATTTTGTAATATCAAGCCCCAAAATTGAATTCACCAATCTGGCGTTGCCCCTCAAGCCATAATACTATGAACTCCTATATGTTGACCAAAATACACTTAAAAAATCATCATAAACTAGCATGTCTTCAATATGTCCAAATTGATTTCTGTCAACTCTGCACAAAAATATGAAAAAAAATACCTAACGTGCAGCTAGATGGTTGAAATTCTTTCAAGCATTTTTAGCAGAAAATGGATCACAGTTGATAACAAATTAAGAGCGTTTATTTGGGGTTAGTGGTGTCCAAGTCCAAACTTTTGTCTTAAAACACTAAAAATGGTATTGGGTCTTTTTTGTGTATGTGTGTGGGATGGTGGGGAAGGGGCTGGGGGGTTGGGTTTAGGTAGTTGCTAATTACTACAAATGTTTGATTGGCTCGTATTGTTTGTTTGTTTGATGAGCATGGAAGCTTAAATTGAGAAGTCTTTGAAGAAGAAATGCAGCTGATTTAAGTTGTGAAATATGATCAAACTAACAAAGTTTAAACGCAGAAATTAGATGGCTAACAGGGCCCAAATTTACTTGTAGTTTTTTATTTAATGTACTTGCCAGGTAATAAGTTATCAACATCACAAATTTTAACTCTGGTATATAGTTGACAAAAGTTAGAATAGAAAACATGAGATTAGGAAACTTACAACCACAGGCACCCTTAGTTCTGGCATCAATATTAGCACCACGTTCAAGCAGCTCATCCATAACTTCAAGGTGGCCACCCTCAGCGGCAAGATGGAGTGGGGTGATACCTTGGGATTTGGGGCCCCATGCAGCCACATTTACATCCCCCCCTTCATTGAGAAGTTGCTTGACCTGTTCCAAGGAACCTTAAATCAGCATTCAATTTCCATGGTCAAGGAAAATCATTGCGGCGAATTGTTTGACAATAAACACAAATAATAATATAAAATAAATGCCAGTGATAACAAGCTCAAAAGGAATTGGGTCTTAAATATAGAATCATTCATATGTGTTGATAACATATAGGTTCCATTTGGTATGGAGGAAGGAAAATGTGTACATCTAAATATCTAATTGCTAAGGTTCAACATAAGAAAGTAATCATGAATCTTAATCACCGACTCCTTTGACCTTTCTATCCTTCATATCAAGTAAAACCATAGATTTATTTTATGAGCATTTGTTTAAAACAATTTGGTTCAACTGACTTTTGTTTCAGCAGATGATGAAAGATTCACATGTTCAGCTCCCTTGGGGGATGTATCTAAAAAAATAGCTAGTGAAGATCAAATAAATCAGTTAGTAGTAAGTACAACAGATGAAGCGCGACCTAAAATATTTTTCTTTTCTGTAAAATTTGACAGGTGAATTCAAATATTACACCACTAAAGGTAGGCAGAATTTCGGCACTAGCCTTGTCTTCTGATGTTGACATTAAATACCATAACTGATAAATAACTTGAGGATCCATCTCAACGCAACTATTATTATGAAAGCGTTAACAAAAACAAAAAAAAAACAAAGCCGTATAACGGTTAAGAAGAAGGATAAGGTTCTAAAAAAGAAAGATACCTTATCGAGGTCACCTTTTCGGGCACCGATGTGAAGCAACGTCCAACCTCTATCATCCCTATCAACCCCAAACCTAAACGAGCGCCTTCTCGACAAACTTCTCCTCAAAGACTGCCCTTGGGTCATATTCTTCGACTCAATAATAAAAAAACGACCAATATCGTTGCAGAATATATAATTTTTATTTCCTTAACCCAGAAAATGAAGAGAGAACCCCAGAACAGATTGATTGCTTGACTGGGCGAAGAATTACATGATATAGTCTTAAAGGAATGAAATTTCACAAAGGTAAGATCTTCTTTTCTTGAAAAAAAAATCCCCGAAAGTTGAAGACGATAACGAGAGAGAGACAGTGGGAAGAGGAATTACATAATAGAGACGGAAAAGAAAGGGAAGGAGAAAGGAATTAGCGAGAAGCAGGGGAATGATGAGCGATGCAATAAGGAGCAAAGGGATTCAGGCCAGGACCAAAGACACGGAGGTTTTGGATGCGAGTCATAAACGGAGAAGACAATACAAACATAATTGATGAAATCGATTGAATATTTACAGAAAAAACAGAGGAATTTCACAAACCATAGATTAGGAGTACGAATACCAGAGTTTATGAAATCGGGAAGGAGGAGACGTATAGAAAGAAAACCCTAAATCAGAAAGGAAACGGGAGAGGAGAGCTATCGCAAAATGTATTTGTTCCCAGATTCAACGTATATGTATATCTTATGCCACATGCCAAGTTTGGTTATATTTAATAACGGGCTGACATGACAGTCCAGGCCTAGCCCACCATAACATAATCCTTTTTCCTTTAATAATTTTTTTTCGTTATCCTCTCATGTCCAAAGTTTTTTTTGATTAATCAGGATCGATTACGTCGTAAACTTAATTTTGATGAGTGAATTTTTTAATATAACTTTTTTTACATATAAAGTTTTAAATTCGAAATCTTACTTAAATGATATCGAATTTCTTACCACTTAAACTAATTCCATTGATAACGTTGTAAATGACAAGAACAAAAACAAACTTCATATTCTGGCCTTAGTGGAAAAGCTTGGCTATATTGTTCTAATTTCTTACTATCTCATTTTTCTAATAGTTTAAGATAATTGTAAGATAATATATGTTCAGAATTTTTTTAAATTATTAACAACGTACATACATCCATAAACACGTTTGTTTGAACCGAAAAATTCTAAAGAAAACAATACTCCTTTTAATCACCATAACCACTTATTGAGTTCTAAATCAATTTTTACATCAAAATTTCTGTTCTCACTTCCATTATTCCTAAATTTATTATTATGCTTTCGACGATTATTTTTAAAAATTATGAAATCGATATTCAAGTTTGAAATACTCATATTCCAATTTTCTCATCTAGCCATCAAAGCGTATTGAAACCTTAATCACGGCTTATTCATATCGTTAAATATCTTTCAACCATTTGAATTTGTCAAAATCATCCTCACACCCTTCAATCTCTTAAAATTTATCAATCAGGCTCGATCACCATAAGAGTAGGATGCCGAATGGAACAACTTAATTGGTCCAATTTTTTTAATCTTCGTTACATTTATGGTCTAAAATGTATAATGGATTCATACTTTAAGGTATAGAGAACGAAAATGAGTATATTTAGAGAGTCAGGATAGAATAAAAAGGTTTAGGGTGTAAAGTAAGAAAATGGTCATACTTAAAGGGCCAAATTCTGAATTAAGCCCCATATTCTTATCCAATGTGGGTGGAATAGTTTGGTATGGTATTTGCGTTAAATCATATAAAAAGTCAAAGGGCGCAAGGGGCGGCGGCTTGAGTCGGAGTTGCTTATCTGAGTCTCTCGACGGTCACAAACGCCATGGATTTAATTTCCCTCTCATCTGCTCTGAATCCTCCTTTCTCTTCCCTTCAACTCAAACATAAACCCTCTCTTGCTCTCCCTAATAAAGCCCCTCCCTTTTTTAGCCTCAAACCGACACCCGTTTCTTTTTCTCTCAAACTGAAAGCCACCGCTAACAGCCTAGAATTCTCAGCCCCTCAGACCCCGGCCACCTCCATGCGAGGGGCTGAGACCGACGCTATGGGGTTGCTTCTGAAGGAGCGAATTGTTTTCCTTGGCAACCAAATTGATGATTTTTTGGCCGATGCCATTATAAGTCAGTTGCTGCTTTTGGACGCTCAGGATCCTACTAAAGATATCAGACTCTTCATTAATTCCCCCGGTGGATCTTTGAGGTATGCGCCATTTTCAAGTTCTGCCCTTTAACCCTATGCTTAGATCCTATCATTCGGTTTTTCAATTGTTCTCTTTTGAGATAATGAGATAAACACGTTGTTGCTAAAGCTCTTTTGATAGATATCTGGGAAATAAATATAAGATGGTTTCACTAATGGTTATTTTCTTCGATTATAAAGGGGGTGAGGGGAATTACAAATGGAACCTTTTCTTCTTCGAATGATGTGGTATTGGTCAATGGTAAATTCTTGAGCTGACAATTCATGACCTTAAGATGCCCTTATCAATCTGAATAATTACCTTGTTATTTGCTTCAGCTAGTATCACGTCATTGGTTAGGATTTTGGAAACGATATGACAATTTTATTTGATGCGGGTTGTATTATAGTTGTATTCTCCTTGGATATGGATTGTCATTTTCTTCCTGATATTTCATATTGAAGGAGTCTGATAGTATTGGTTTGAAAATCTATTTTGTTTGTAACCCCCCATTTAATGGAGGAGCATAATGGATATCAAATCATGGCTGAACCTATGATATAAAAGTCGAGCAGGCCGAATCGCAAAGCTTAGTTTGTAGCTTCAACTTGGGGATGGAATTTGTATTGCTTCATCCAAGCATAATGAATCCAGCTGCATCATTAGATTAGCATGTGTGATGAGTCATAATCTTATTGTTCATTTTGGGGTGTGTTTATTCTTTGTTTCTGCTAATGACCAATCTTATTGTTCATTTGTGGAAGGAATTCGAAGATCATCACAGGGAGTGGTTCCTTGTAATTTCCTTTGATGTACTTACATAATTACGATTCACTTTGCAAAATATACGAAGACTATAATTTGCTAGTGAACTTGATAAATTTCCATTCCCCTTTCCTCTTAACTGAATAAGACTGCTTTGACAACCTTTTTTTTTTTTTAATCTTTGTGCAATCAAAATAAAGGTGATTTACTCTCTTCTTTCCGTTTCTATTTTTGAAAACGTTTTATTCTCCTTCCTGTTGGTGGCCTACAATAGAATAGAAACTTTCCTGCTATGCTTCCATTTTAATGTTTTGTTGCCCTGTATTTGGTTTCTGATTGTATCACCATTCCTTCTGCTTATTTTCCGTTTTTGCTATTTGTACCAGTGCTACAATGGCTATATACGATGTAGTGCAGCTTGTGCGGGCTGATGTTTCCACGGTTGCAATCGGCATCGCAGCATCAACGGCTTCTATTATCCTTGGTGGTGGCACCAAAGGCAAGCGCCTTGCAATGCCAAACACACGGATAATGATTCATCAACCTCTAGGAGGTGCTAGTGGACAAGCTATAGATGTGGAAATCCAAGCCCGGGAAATTATGCATAACAAGAGCAATGTGACAAGAATAATTTCCAGTTTTACTGGACGTCCGTTTGAGCAAGTAGAGAAGGATATCGATAGGGACCGATATATGTCTCCAATGGAAGCAGTTGAATATGGAATAATAGATGGAGTCATTGATAGAGATATGATCATTCCATTGGAACCAGTGCCGGAAAGAGTGAAGCCAAGATTAAACTATGAGGAAATTAGTAAAGATCCGAAGAAATTCTTGACCCCTGACATTCCAGACGATGAAATATACTAGGTGCAAGAGGTTTATGTTTCAATGGGGCTTGCCTGTCCCTTGATTTTCAGTTTGTGTTTGTTATGTAGATTTATGTATTGAATTGCAAGACACAATTAAGGACATATTGGTTTCTGCATTCGTAAAGTGAAAATGTGGTTTTGGTCCTGCCAAAATTGATTATTGTGATTTAGAAACATTTGAATATCGTTAGAACAGTGAATGAAATGGAAGGACGGACAATTGGTTCATTCAGTCTTCTTCAGGAATCATATATACCTGGTTTCTGCTAATTTGAGTGCACTATGGTGCTTTAATGAAAATTGTACTTACCAGTTCTAAATACAGTTTAATATGTATATATATATATATATATATGTTTTGATTAGTATGCGGAGATTACAAGATAATGTCTATTGATAATTCTCTCGATCAATTAATAATGAACGTATATATACTCTGTAGATGTTGTTTGAACATGGGATCTAGAGAGAATAAATCTTCTTTTATCCATTGAAATCACTCTATGAATTTCTAATGTGTATATATGTATACGCTAATCGTGAAATTGGACCTATAAATAAATGGGCTGGCTAGCTAACACAGCCCAGTGAAGAACCCGTCACATATGCAGCAGTTTGCCCCCTATGTACCAAATACAGTTGAAGTTTCTCATTTCTAAATGGCCGGCAACGGAGAAAGGACCAAGGGGACCTCCATGCTTCCACGATGATGGCAAAGAGAACCAACCTTGGACGACTCGTATTAATACTCAGAAGGTGAGCCCATCCACAAAGTTAGAACTTGCTTAGGTGAAACTGCGGCAACATCAGCCCCCTCTATTTTGCTATCAAAAGAAAGACAAAAATAGTCAAAAGTTTGCAAAGAAAAGGGGGGGGGGGTTGAGAAAACCCTAAATAAAGGGAAGGGGGATTGGTGGAGTTGGAAGAAGCAGCAGCGATGTTAGGGGGTGGGCAGTGGGGGCAAGAGGAGACTCGGGAGCTGATCTTCATAAGGGGTGAGCTTGAAAGAGACTTCACCGCCACCAAGCACAACAAGACCTTCTGGGAGGTCGTCAGCTCCAAGATGAAGGATAGAGGCTTCACCCGAACCCCTGATCAGTGCAACTCCAAGTGGAAAAATCTTCTCAATCGTTACAAGGTCCTTTCTTCCTCATTTTCTCTCTTTAGTTACTCTCAAACTTCTTTCTTTTTTGTAGAATTGTCATTGTTTTTGTACTTTCTCATTATTCACAACCTATGTTAACCATGTGTGTGTGTGTATAGCATCTCATTGAATTGAATGGGTTTTTTAGTACCCTTTTTACTATCACCTATATTGTGTTTTTCAATCTTTCCAAATTGCTTTCAAAATGGATGTTTTATGCAAAATATTTATTTCATTCTTTTTTTATCATATTAACAATCTGTATGTTTGTTTAAATGTTTCTATGTCATCTTTATGCAGGGGAAGGAGACAGCTGGCCCTGAGAATGATTCCAAATTCCCATTCTTTGAGGAACTCCGTGCATTATTCACCGAAAGAGCCAAGAACATGAAGCGCCGCCTGCTTGAGACCGAGGCAGGTTCGGATTCCATGCAGGCAAAGAAAAGGATGAAAAGAACAACCACCGATAGATCCTCAGACGAATTCTCCGAACAAGGCGAGGATGAAGATGAGAGTGAAGAAGAAAAGCCCACCAGAGGCATTTCACGCAAGAGGAGAAAAGCCGACACAAACACAATGGTACCGGATAAATCCCCTAGACCAACAAGCTCGGGTGTCCATGAAGTGGTTAGGGAGTTCTTCAATCAGCAGCTGAGGCTGGAGATGCAGTGGGGGGAGATGATGGAGAGGCGTGCCCGTGAGAGGCAGTTGTTCGAGCAAGAATGGCAGCAATCGATGGAGAAGCTCGAGAGGGAGAGGTTGATGGTGGAGAAGGCTTGGAGGGAGAGGGAGGAGGAGAAGAGGAGAAGGGAAGAGAGCCGAGCCGAGAGAAGGGATTCCTTGTTAACCACTCTCTTGAATGAACTCATAAACGATAGTAAACTCTGACCTGGAATATATATAGTTTATGTGTCGTAAAGATTTAGTACTCACAAGTTTGATGATGCATACATGTTTTGTGTTGCTAATTGCTATTTGTATGGGTATTACAAAGAAATGTATTGTCTTGTTTTGTTGAATGATGTGGTTTTAGTTTGGATGATGCTGATGTTAATGATAAGTTAATGTTCAAATCCTTATGTTGAGTGATTTGGGTTTTTGTAGTTTGTCCTCTTTCATCTCCATGCAAATCCCCATCTATCTAAAATTCAGGGTCAAGTTAAAATTTAGCCGTTTTTACAAATTACTTTGCTCATCATGCTGCAGTCGTTAGTGTTGAATCCATGACCTCTAGAAAATACTTGAATTTGTGATTTGTAGGAACAACAACGATTTTATTAACAACTGAGATAAGTTTGTTAATGACATTTTTATTAATACAATGGCTATGATATAGTGAACTGACAACTTAAATGACCAAAACATAACTTTTCTAAAATTAGCTATCAAAATGAGACGGACCGAAAATGAAAGAGATCATCCATGTAGTTTACACAAAAGAATAAAACCCTATAAAAGCGTGATTATGGCTTCAAATCCCTGTTGCTCTGTTCCTTATTCGTAAAGTAAAGAAGGAAAGAAAATGGAGGATTCAAGAAATGGGGATTGTGAAGAATGCAAAACGAAGGCGTCAAAATACAAGTGCCCGGGCTGCGGCCTCCCTTGCGTAAAAGCTCACAAGCAGCGTACCGGCTGCAATGGCAAAAGGAACGCCACTTCCTTGTTTCTCTCTCTCAATTCGACGATAATCTTCTCCTCTCAGGTTTCACCTTGTTTTTCTTCTCTCGTTTATCTATGAGTCAGTTCATCTTCGCTAAACCCAGAATTGCTTTGTAGATTACAATCTGCTGGAGGAAACAAAAAGGGTTGCTGAAACTGCTGAAAGAATAAGGTCCAAACTGTGTAATACTACTACTACTAGTTGCTCTCATCATCACTTTAAGCTACCGTATCCCCTTCGAACTCTCCGTACTGTTGCTGCTTCTCGGAGAACTAAGCTCTTGTTTCTGCCTTCTGTGTTGTCTAGTAGGGAGACTAATCAAACTCTATATAACCACAGGTTCTTCCCCTTTTATTCATTCAAAAAACCCAAATCATGTATGGTGATATCCTTTTTAAGTTAAATTTCCAGGTAAACACCTGCTTACTAGTTTGATATGTCTATAGGAAGAAGTGCATTTCGTGGACCATCGAATGGGGTTTCATTCAACAGACGTTGTTTTGCTTGACCATGGGTGAGCTGCTGTTTGATCTTCGTTAAAATTTGGTGACTGCTTAACATTTCTTGGACAACTGATGCATTGTTTTTTTTCTCTCCCTCTTTTTCCAGTGTACATGAAGATACAAGCCTCTGCTCATTAATTGAAAACCATCTCCAGCCTAGCCCCTGGAATCATCCTCTAAGGCGGTTCTGTGAAGAGCGGCTCGATTGCCTCAAGTTTTTCATTCGAAAATACCCCAAGGTGATTTAGGTCTCTGGGTTTCATTCTTTTTCTTCTTTTGAACTATATATTCAGCAGCCTCCACGTGCTCTTGTTGCTTGTTGTTTGCTAGGTTTTGCTACATTTCCATGTTAAAACTGGAGTGAAGCTCAGTTATCTGGGCTATGTTTAATGCCCTCATCCTATGTTATACATTATATGTATTGATGCTTGCCTTTCACGTTTTCCTCTGCTGAAAATATTCTATCCATCCTACTGATGATTTTCTCCTGTTGTAGTAGGGGAAGTCACCTTTTCGGGAGTTCGACATAAATGCCCCAACACGGCAACAATTAGACAATACGGTTGTTATAGAGTATCCGGTGATCCATGTATTTCTTCCTATGGAACACTATGATTTTGAAGTTATCAGAGAGAACCTTCCTGTCACTCATAGGACAGAGGGAAAAGATTCTAGCATTGCTGATAATGAAATACAAAAAGGTGTTACCTTCAGGGAGGAGGAAATAAAAGAGAATGGTAGCTCTTTAGAGACTTGGGTCTTGGATCTTATGAAGCATGGGAATCAAATCCTTCTCAAAACGAGTCTGAGAAAGCATTCGGTAACTTAGTTTTGTCTTTGTCGACTAGAGCTGGGGCAGGGAATAAGGTGCAATCCACCTCCCTGGCTAAGGAATCTGGAGTTCTTGAAGACATGGAGTTCAATTTCAAACAAGGCTTACCCGATACTGGAATTAATCTGGATGACTTTCTTTATTTGGAAGGTGAATTTGCTAAGCAATCAGAAACGGAAGATAGAAGAGACCTTTCAAATACTAGGGGAGTTTTCTTTGCCGAGGAAGGGGAGATTGTAGATTAATTTATCACTGTCAGTTTTCTCAAGAAGCCGAGCAACATTATCAGAGGATGAATTTGCTGAGAGTTGTTGCTTGCTAATGATCATAATTTTCGTCGACAATCTGCTACGGCTTGTCTGTCGTATCTAAAGAGCAAACTCTGCAATTCTGTGGCATTTAAAAGCATGCAGAGTTTCCTTCATACTGAGTGTTGGCTCGACCATCTGGAAATGCTTAAAGATGGGGGGGGCAAATGCTTGGACATCTTGTAAATTCAATAGCTGATGTAATATTTCATTCCCCCCTGAAATAAAAAATCCATTATTTGGTCGATATTAAAAGCTCTCTGACACCTCTTCTTCCTCTCCCAAAGAGAACCTCTTTGATTAAAGAACATACCAACTTACATAAGTGGAAACTTTTCTTTAAGATACTATCAACATGAATACACAAGGGAATTGAATGAGTCCAATCTATAATAGAAGAGTTTTAGGCTGCACTTCAAACCCAAAACAAACAGTATGGGCTTCATCAACATTGACCGGGCAAAACTGGCCTAATACCATAGGCGGATTAAAAGTTTAGCCCAATATGACATCAGATTTTTTATTTTGAGAACTACGACATTTGTTATAGTGACTTGAAACACATCATTTGAGTATGACGGTTCTAATAAAATGTAATTTTAATAATTTTATTGGAACTTGTCACTTGGACGTGACAAATTTAAATAAAAAATATTATTTGGGTTAACTCGTCATGTAAGCGTGATGAGTTTGCATTACACTGTAACATTTGTCGTAGATCTCAAAATTTAAAATTCAGTTTTTGTACTTTAAAATATATAATTTGTGTCGAAACTTATAGTGTTAAATAAAAAATAATACAGAAATTCAATATTGTAAAAATGAAGTATATGAACTAAAATGTAAAAAACGAAATAATATAGTGGGTCTGAACATATTTAAACCAAAGTAAAAATATAATCCTAAAAGCCAAATAGAATTTTAACATGAAGCGGACAACAGGAATCTGATGATTAACTGAAATTTGAAATGGAATGTGGATTTCACTTCCTTATTGTAGTCGAGAGTGCGGAGTATCTTATATCTTCTAAGCTAAGCTACTTCCACTTTCAACACTATCATGGCTGAGATTTCAAGCTTTGCTGTTCACTTCGCTATCAAGTCATAATCATCGTTTTATCCCTTCTTAACCTTTAAATTAATGGATTTTGTGCATTGGGAATATAAATGAAACTAGATAGATTGTGAAATATTTAAGATTGATTCGATCAAAGTTTAATAAATATTCAACTTAAACGGATTGGACTCGAATTTTTAACGAGTCAAAAAGAACTATTTACTATTCAACTCGAAAGACTCGTAAACAGCTTAAAAATATAATATATTAAGCTTTTATTTTATTTTTAAATAAATTATTAATACTATTAATATTTATGTGTTAATTTTTTAAAATACAATATAAAAAATTTATATATTTAAGGTTTAAATTTGAGTTTGAGATTTTAATTGTGTTTTTTTCTTCTTCATTTTAGACTCGGATATAATAATTTCCGTTCCCATTTCTATTTGACATTAAGGGATAAAACTTCTCTCATCCCTATCCCTATCCCTATCCCTATAGATAAATATTTCAATTATTCTCTATCTCCATCGGTTTGATTGCCGCTCCTACTGAAATCGAGGTTAAAGAGGTGTACCGCAGAAAGAGAAGAAGCACACGTGGCAGGTAGGGAGAAGCCACAATCGTACGACGTGACGAAACTACCAGCGTGTTGGGTGGTGCATCCCACTGGATATTGCGCTCTGCTTTGCCGTACTGCTCCAAATAGATTATACAATAATAATATATCTTCAATAAAATCATCTGATTCGTACAATTTATTTTTAATTAGAGTTTTAAACTAATAAATATTAAAATTATTTATTTATTTGACCTTGCATGTATATGATACTAATTACATGCACTAAATATATATTTTAAATATCGTGTAATCTAATTTAACAAAAATCCTTGTCACTGTGTTATTAATTGGCCTTATTGTATCATAAGAGGAAAGAGAATAAAGTCCTAAGTTAAAAAATAGACTATAGATTTAAAATGTAAAAGATTACAGGGACTGGGAGCAGAATTCGAACCGTATAACCATAATGGTGAAATTGAATAGTGGGGTAATAAAATAAAAACACAAGGTCCAAAATACAAGCTTGGTTCAACAAATGCCAGCCTGCCTGCTTGCTGGTCTACCCTTCCCCTTCCACTCGGTCATGTCTGACCTCGCCTTTTTAAGGCTTCGCCAATGCGTACCCGCCGCCCATTCTTCTCCTTCTCAATCTTCTTCTACTCACAAACACCATTTCCGTTTACTCTAATGGCGAAACCGAAGACCATAAGCAACCGAAGAAGCAGTCATACATTTCGGTTCCATCTCAGATAATAAAACTCCCTCTTCTCTCCAGTCTCTATTGGTTTCTCCCAAGAGAAGCATCTCTGGCGGTTTCTTTTTGGTCAGCAGCACACATGTAGAAGCCCGAGGGTTGTGGTTGTTCGCTCTGTTTCTCTTCGGCCTTGTTGGGATGTGAGGTTAGGCTGGAACGTCAACACTTGATCCCATTCTCTCCCTACCACACCATGTCTCCAAGCTCAACAAAACATCGACCCCATTGGTCGAAACAACGACTCTTCGGCGGTGGTTGCTGCTAGTAATCTCGGTCAACCCCCTCATCACGAGGAGTTAGGTGAGTTCTGGAAGCAGCCTGACGGGATGGGTTACCGGCCGTGTTTGGATTTCAGTCGCGAGTATCGAAGGGCGACCGAATCCGTCGTTAAAGCTATGAGTAAGTAGTGCTGGTGGTGTTTCCGGTGGCATCAGTCAACAGAGGAACCAAATCGTCGATGCGTCGTCATCGCTAGGATTCTGGGTGCTGCTCTGGTTGTTCCATTTTGCAAGTCAATGTCATCTGGGTGATGAAAGGTAACAAAAAACTAAGATCAAATCATTTCAATCGTCGGGTATCTTTCTTCTTCTTTGTTGTTTAATTTCTGTTTTTTGTTTTCATCCTTTGGAGTGAATTTCTGATATATTCGACTTGGCTCATTTCAAGAGTGTTCTTGAGGATGATGTTCGTATACTATCTTCATTGCCTTCTACACATGTAATGACGAGGCCAGTAGAGAGAGACGGACTCCTCTTCACGTCTCGCCTCAATGGATTCGTTCACGTTATCTCAAGCGGGTAATCGATCCTTTCCTCAATGTTATTCCAGCAAGTAACTTAGTCACTCGCCAAATTTTAGGTTCTTTTGGCGTTAATGGATAATCCACGGATTTAAATTCCTGGGATAGGCCTCGTAGCAGAATTATGAGACATTGTGTAACTAGCACCTATTGATACGGTTCTCTTTGTGCAATAGATAAATAGGGAAGGGAGTTTTGCTTTACGAGGCTTGGACTCGAGGCTCTCTAAGGATCTTCTCCTGATCTTCAAAAGCTTCGCTGCAAGGTACTCGAAATCTTACTGGATTGGAAAACTTGCCCTGTTCTTTACCGAGTTATGTTGGTCTATGGTGTTCACTTGTTTGCTTTGAAGATTCTAATTTTTCATTATCTAATACAGGTGGCATTTCAAGCTTGAAATTTGCCCCAAATCCATGAACTTGGTAACAAGCTGGCACAGAGCAGAGCAAAGGACCGTACCTTGCTCTTCATCTTCGAATGGAGAAGGATGTATGGGTGAGGATGGTTGCTCACCAGGCTTGAGTAAAGACTTTGATGAGTTAATCCAAGATGAAAGGAGAAGATTCCCGAGCTTCTCACTCGAAATCGAACATGACTTATCATGAGCGAAAGCTTGCAGGGCTCTGCCCCTTGAATGCTTTCGAAGTGACCAGGTAAGAGCTAGTTCTGAGTTATGCTAAATGCTATTTTGCTCGATGCCTTATTATGTACCGAACAATCTTCTGTGTACATTAGGCTGCTTAAAGCTTTGGGGGCTCCAAGGAATGCAAGAATATACTGGGCTGGGGGACAACCTGGGTGGGAAAGAAGCCTTGTCACCCTTAACCAGAGAATTTCCCCATTTTTATAATGACGATCTTGCATTGCCCGGTGAATTAGAACCATTCGCTAAGAAAGCTTCTTTTATGGCTGCCGTCGACTTCATAGTCTCCTTGAAAAGCGATGTTTTCATGCCATCTCATGGCGGAAATATGGGCCACGCAATTCAGGTTCACTGGCTGCTTCAATTTTTTTCCCTCTCGAGTAACAGCTTTTGTCTAAAACCACACATGCTTCTCCGCGGCTACTTGAAAACCGATTTGTTGTTGGTTGTTTGATACAGGGACAGAGAGCATTTTCTGGACACAAAAGTACACAACTCCGAATAAAAGACACATGCTTCCTATTTCCTGAACTCTTCAATGGTGAAGCAGGGTTCAACGCATCATAAAAGAGTTACACCATGAATCGCTGGGGCAGCGGAACTCAGGAGCAGCAAAGCGGGGTGTAATGAAGTATCCAGTCCCGGAATGTATGTGCAACGATGCACGTTCCCGCTCAATTTGATACCAAGACTTCGAACACAACTACATCCTTCGAGCATTGAGAAATATTGGTGGTTCCCCTGAATTTGAGCCCTTCGAGAATTGAGAAAATGGTTTTTGGGGGACATGATGATTCTCGGGAGCGCGGTTCAAGAATGACTGCAGCCGGTATGCTTTGCACAAGCATATCGCGTGTTGGCATATGAGGGTATATGTACGATATAATTCATTTTTGATTCTTTAGAATAGATTCATTTGTATTCATTGGA